ATATAGTGCATTTTATATACTTCTCTCAGTCAGTACAGATTCGATAAATAAATATGAGCCAATGCAGATTAAAGTTCTATTGATATTTCTAAGACATGATTAATATTGTAATTTCACAATTTTTTGTTTTCGTTGGAGATCCTGAGATGAGGTATCCTATCGAAACTAGGTAATTAGACATTAAAATATATATATGTTTTTCATTCAATAGAATTCGGATTTTGTTTCAAGACCCTAGTAAATATTATATTAATGTTCCGCTTATCATATATGTATGTATCACAACTATTCATTGCTGAAAAATTATTATTGCTTATGATTTTATACATATTATATTCTATATGACAACAAAAGCCTGGCTCAATTAGCCGTAACATATTTACTTCTTAAACTTTCCAATGGATCAATTTCGTTCGAGTACAATATTATTTAGTTCAAATCAAGTGTGTTAAATTTACTTTTAAGCGTAGATATGTGTATATAATATTTTGAATATATTGCTTTAAATAAAACATTTCCAATATTAATTATATTAGTGAATAAAATAATAAAGGCATTTGCTCGAAAACATTTTATATTTATGTACAAATATATATATATATATATTTCTGCTTGTTTTTTGTGAATTATTTTAGTTTAATTTATGAAATTTAAAAAATTAATGAAAAAAAAATTGTATTTACTACATAACACAGTTATATATATTTAACATATAATATAATGTTTATTCCAAAAACTAAAACTTAACTGAACTAAACATTTTTTGAAAATTAATGAAAATCTTGGAATGAAATGTTTTGAAATTTAAAAACAAATTCCATATATGTATATATACATAGGTATACAATATATTGTAAAATCTACAAATTTGTCCCGCGCGTCTACCTCTTTGTTGATTTGCCCTAAGGATCGAACATAAGAAACGCATTGACACTTATGAAAGATTAATCTGTAAATCATAAATCACATATAATTTGTAAATCATGCCTTTTGCAACTAGATTTATAACGACCACCATATGCTTATCTCTGGAGTCATTATTGGTTTTTCGAATTTGGTGCCTAGTTGGTTAACTCTTTTCACAACTCTGTTCAAGTCAAGTGGATTCTATTTGTTATATATACTAGTATACATATTGTCTTATCTCTGATAAGCAAATAATAATAATAATAAATAAATAATGGGTTATAATACAAACCTTGTTTGAGCACCTTAGCAGAAAATGTTTATAGACCGACTATATTCGGCGATCAAAAATATATTATCTATATTCACTATTTTGTATAATTCAAAAGTAGGAATGCGCTTTGTTAGGTTTATTTTTGCATATTCTTGCAATATTATCAGATAAAATTCTTGATATTTTGCTTTTAATTTGTATATAAAATTTTAATAGTATTTTTAATAAATGGAAGCACAGCACAGTTTATAAAACTAATTAATTTTGCGCACTGATGAAAACTATTTCGATATTCTTTAATTAGCTGAGAATAAGTGAATAGTCGCGAAAATAAGCCGCGACAGCGCACACCGTGTTTGAGTGACCGGCTATCGAAAGGATGTGACCGCTACGCCGTCCAACAGTGTCCTGCGAACCTGAACAGCAAACGTCCGACGACAAACTACCGCGAGACGGCGAGCGCAGAAATCGTGAGCGAATTTTGATTTTAGCGCGGCGAATTTCCGTACCACGAGTATTTTCTCCTGAGCGCGGTGGCTCTTTACGTTTGTGTACGTGAGTTCGTTTGTATGTGTGTGCCTGCGTACAGCTGTGTGAGTGAGTGAGTGAGTGAGCGAATGAGTCCACATGTGAGTTTGTTTACACTCGTATGGTCAGTTTTGTTGTCGTTCTTCTGTTCCTTTGCTCTAAACTTTGTATGTGCGCTTGTGTGCGTGAGTGAGCGTGCGTGCGTGTGTGTCTGTTTGCGTCGCTGCCGTTGAGAGTGCTCTCGCTCTCTACCCGTTGTCGCTGTTGGCGTATTCGCGGCCGTTTTCGGTGACAGCCCAATGTACAATGATTAATAACGGCCAAGACGGCAGAGAAGACGTAGCGTGCTCTCGCTGCGGCTTACGCTGGCATCGTTCAGCCGTACAACAGGCTTTGG